CCTAACCACGTCTGATAACCTAAGGGTACAGGATTCAACATAGTTCACAGTTGGTCTACTTTATTAAAATTTTAAAAGATGACCAGATATATTCATTGTTTAGGATACAAAAGATTAGAGTATACTACACAGTAAAATGTTTTGTTTTCAGATCTGTACACTAATGTTATGATTAATTACTGGATGTATGACAACGAATGTTTAGAGTAACAGCAAGTAACGTACATTCAGGTGGGCTAAACAATTATAGAGAATATCCAAGTTAATTCTATAAACTCTCGTACTTACGTCTTCAGCAGTTCTTTATTCGAGATAAATAATTTCAGACTAGAAATTCCAGTGAAATTGGACATCGTGCAAGTCACCATTAATACGTTTCCACGGCTACATAGTACACAGAGGAAAGCAATTCACTGAAGTCTTCAATTAACATGTGAAGTGCGTGGAACGGTCAGAGCTTGACCCGTGCCACGTGATTCAAACCACGAGGATTCATCTTCCTACAAAAAGAAAAAAAGGGATGGAGAAATGGCCGTGACTAGCGAACTGAAACGTGGAGAGGTTGATGAACGATCTCGGATAACAAATTTGTCTGGGATGGACCAACAAACAGAAAAGTTCTTGTCACACAGAAGAGAGGGGGCTTCTTTCTCTCGCAGGAGATATTGTTTTGATAAACACGCAACGTAATTACGACATGTCTAGTTTTACTTTATAAATGTAAACTAATAAATAAAGGTTGGATAAAAAAGGAAATTAAGTAGACAGATACAGACCGATAAGATTTTTGTTTGAATTTATCTTTTTTATCACGTTTGTACTTAGCTATCGATTTATAAAAAAACGTTTCGTTTAATTCAACAACGTTTCTGTCACTTCTTAGGGTTTTTTACTTCTGTTTTTTCGCCGTCCGTCTGATTATGGTTAATTTACAGAGAAAATTGTGTTTCAACCTACAAATAGTATGCTAATCGCTAGCAAAGGTGGTTCTTTGTAAAGACGACTCAAAACTATATGCCATGCTGAAATCACCATGTCCACCTGAACAGCTCAGTAGGCTTTAAAACTTCACCATAGGAGACTCTTCGTACACACAAACACAGTCACACATGTACACACATACACAATCACACATGTACACACACATACACAATCACACATGTACACACAAACACACATGTACACACAAACACAATCACACATGTACACACAAACACAATCACACATGTACACACATACACAATCACACATGTACACACATACACAATCACA